CCCCCCACCCCCGACACACACACACACTCTTCCCTCTCTCTCTCCCTTACCAGTTTCAGTCGCTGGGAGCACATGACCTTCACAGAGAAAGCGCTGTAGGGGCTGCTCCCGATGGTGGAAGTACCAGTCTCCCACAACATCTTCAAACTCCTCCAACATCGTCTCACACTGGTCAAGTGGAAGGGCCAGAAGAGTATCTGCTCTGCGGGGCTGGAAACCCTCCTCTCTTCTCTCCACTCTCTGTCTCCCCTCCTCTACCTGACTGCCTGTGGCTTAGAGAGGCAGGTGGCCAAGAGACAAATGGTTCCTGGCACCTGTTCTGCCAGGTAGGTCACTACACTGAGTCTCAGCTCTTCGCCTATAAAAGGGGAAACACTGACAGGTTCTTGTGAGGGTAAAACGGGGCAGCAACCATGTGGTCCCGAATCTGGGACCTAGCGGGTGCTCCGTAAGTAGTAATGCATCCAATTGGCTTCTGTTGCTACTATTTGATGTGCTCTTGGGCCCACTTTAATTGATGGTGCAGTGCTCACCCTGGCCTCTTCTCCCTCCTCAGAGGTCCCCTACAGACAAGCCTTGGGCCCCAGCTCCGCTCACAGGCTCCTTCTCACCTCCCTGGACAGAGCGAGCAGTCTGTTATCCTACCTGTTTCTTAAGGAATGTGACCTCCAGGCTGGGCTCGTCCCACAGCTCCAAAGGGATTCCCAGATCCACCTTCACTCCCTTCTGCACGAGGCCTTTCAGCGTGGTCATGGTCTGACTCTGACCCTGAGAGATGAAGAATTTGGGACCAGCCTGGGGCACCACCCCACCGCTTCTTTCCCTTTTCTGCCATGCTAGCTTTGTCAGCTACTGGAGGTGGGGGTGTCACATGATGAGGGTGCCACATGAAAGAGAGAGGATGAGGGAGCCTGAGGACAAGGAGGGGGCACTCCAGGGCTGGGAGAGAACATGCAGCTAGCTCTTGAGGACTTGGGGAGATATAGGTCTTCGTTTCTGAGAAGTGGGGTCTCGCCCTGGGGAAGGGTCAAACCTTGGCATATCTCAGCGAGCCCTTGCGCTCAGCGTGAACACTGTAATCCAGGATGCGCTCACACAAATTCTCCAAGGCCTCTTCCAGACGTGTTTCTCTGTGGGAAGAGGGGAAACAAAGACTCCCAGGATGCTGTAGGAACTCCCAGGGCTCCTTTGGGGTTGGGAGGTGGAGGAGCACCAAGAAGGACTCACGAGACGCTGTAAGGCACGTGTCTCTTCCTCTTGCCTGTGTCCAGCACCTGCCCCAGCTCGAGCACCTCTCGAGATCGACCGGTGCGACTCAGTTCCTCCTGCAGCTCTGCGCTCAGCAGCTTACACACTGGGGGAGGAGAGATGTCCAAGGGGATGTGAAAGATGAGCAAACACGTGCCAGCAATTCATTCTGCAGATGACTAAAGGCAGCAGAGCAGGCAAGTACAGACTCTGGAGCCAGACCGACTGGGCTGGAATCCTGGTTCGGCCACTTAGCAGCTATGTGGCAATCTTGCTGTGCCTCCGTTTCTTTATCTCTAAAATGAGATAATGATAGCATGTCCCTCATAGGCGCATGGGGAAGATTAAATAACTCAACATAGATAAAGCCTCTAGAATAGTGCCTGAACCATAGTGAACACGGGATAAGTGTTTGCTGTTATTCTGTAGATATTTACTGAGCTCCTTCCGTATCCACAATAACAACAGAGAGAGCAATGAGACCTACTGTTTCCATCTACCCGACACTGCCAGCGTAGCTGGGACACATAAACAGAACGACAGTACGAGGTGGTGGGCCTTACACCAGGGGTTAAGATCAAGAGACTATCTCATCAAGAAATACAAAATTAGCTCGGTGGCTCAGCCTGTCATCCCGCGCCTTTGGGAGGCTGAGGTGAGTGGATTGCCTGAGCCCGCGAGTTCGAGACCGGCCTGGGCAGTGTGACCTCATCTCTACAATAAATCAAAAAATCAGCCGGGCGTGGTCGCGCATGCCTGTAATTCCAGCTACTCAGAAGGCTGAGGCAGAAGGATCACTGGAGCCCAGCAGGTCGAGGCTGTGGTGGTCGTGAGCGTGGCACTGCACTCCAACCTGGGCAACAGAGTGAGACTGACTCAAAAAAAAAAATGCAAAATTCATTCAATGGTCACTTACTGACTTCCAGTTAGCCTTCAACTTCCCTGAGGGTGAGCACTGTCTGTTCCACTACTGTCTTTGCAGCACCTAGCATGTGATCTGGCAGGGGGTGGGTCCCCAGAATGGAATGGCCCATACGGAAGTGACAAGCTAACCAGACAGGCACAGGTGCCTAAAATGTGTCCAGCCCTAGGCTAGTACCTGAGATACACGGGCACTCCCCTTTCCTCCAGGGGCTCACAACATAGTGGAAGGTGACATTTAAGCTGGGCCTGGAAGAGCAGACAGGAGCTTATCAAACACAGAAGGGGAACACAGCAGAGGCGCAGAGCGCGAGCGAGAGGACAAGGCATGCTCCGGGCCGGGAGAGGTTCGGCGTGGCTGAGGCTCGAGCACGCTGGGGAAGGGAGGGTGGGGCAGGGAGGTGTAAGAGCCTTTGGGACCACATGACCCAGGGACACACGCTCTGCTGGAAAAAATACTGGCTGTATTCTGATCACAGCCGGAGGGACTGACCCTCTGGGTCTGTGTTTAGAAAGGCCGGCAGAGGTGGGGAGACAAGAGTGGGGACCCAGCAGTCCAAGGAGACGCGAGATGAGGACCGAGTGGCCAGGAACCCCTCACGCCTCCCCTCGGCGGTGCTGAGACGCAGTGGGGTGACGCGAAGAGAAAACGAATCCGGGAAGAGATCCGAGGTCAGCCGGGCTCGGCGGCTCAGCCCGGAATGCCCGCGCCTTTGGGAGGCCGGGGCGAGCGGACTGCCCGGCCCGCGGGCTCGAGACCGTCCGGGCACCTCGGCGAGGCCTCGTCGCTCCACGACCTCGAAAGCGAGCCGGGCGTGGTAGCGCGCCTGTCGCTCCGGCTACTCGGAAGGACGGCCGGAGCCCGGAGTCTGGGCGACGCAATGCGACTCCCACTCAGAAAAGAAACCTGAAGTCAGGAGGCCCTCGCGGCCGGCCGGGCGGCCTC